ATGTCCTGATACATAAAACCATAGAACTCAAAGAGGGTGTACTTTCTTTTTCACACAATTGCATGTATGTATGAGTGTGAGTGTGTGAGTGTGTGTGTAATGTTTTAAGATTACTGATTTATTACTGAATTTGAATGATCAAATAATATTTTTTTTAATGAGAACTTACGTGTTATATGGTATTTAGTCACAAAGGAATATCCTCATCAGGCAATACATTGTCTGGCAGCATATTCTTAACTTTTATGAATTAATATTTCTTAGGATGTTGCAATATAAACGGGAAGCTTTGATCATCCATGCATAATGGTTACACAGGAGTTATATTCTGTGAATTCGTTTTCATTATTTCCCACCTGGCTGTTAAGCAATGAAAAGCAATGAAACCTTGAGATCATGAATATGACACGGGCAAGTTTAAGTGCCTTTGTATCCTATTAGTGTCACCCTCGTCCCAAGGGGGTCTCCATGCCTGCTTTCTCTTTAAAATGTTAGGAAAAGGAAAGCAAATTCTGGCTAACCAAACAAAATTCTTATTCAGTGTAAGAAGCCTTGTTGTTTTGAATTATTCATTTATAATTGCAAAATGCACTTAACTCTCAAAGTGCTTTGTGAGAGCTAAACATTCCCATTAAAACCTATGCACTTTTGTTTCAGTTTACATTCTTTATTGTCAAATTGGGGAAGAAATAATAGCAGGGTGGATCCAATTTTCAGACTCTCCCCACAAGGGTCCATCCTGCTTCTCTTGACGTGTCCAAAGATGGCATGGTTTGTTGGTATTCATCTTAGAGAAAAGTATTTTCTTTTTGAATTCTTGTAGATTTGTAAAATGCTATGTACAGGTCATGTCCACAAAGCTTTCCTGTTTGTTTCACTGGAAAAAGGTTACTGGGTTTATCCAAATAAATGCATATGCAGAGAAGCCTGCTGTGTACAAGGCAGCCATTCCCAGTCAGGAGAGAAGACTGGAAGTCCAGTGAATGTTCACTTCCTGAAGCAAGAGGAAATGCACCTCAGGAGAATAATAGCAAAAGCACTTGGAGCAAATGTGGGGATTCCATTTACACAGATGGGGAGATAGGGGTTCATTGAAAGCTTGCAAACTAATATTTTCTAAGTGAAGCTGTTAAGGGAGAAGAAAAACACATTGCTTTGTAAAGCAAAACGGTTGTGGTGATGATGGTTTACTTCTCTATTGATGGGTAATATTAATCATATTAACTATTAATATTTTCACTTCCTAATTCATGGTAAAATTATTTGCAGTGGGTGTCATTTGTTCTAATCTCCTGTTGAAAATAAACTTTGGTTAGAGATAGACAACTATTTGGCCCACCTTAAAAGCTGCAGAAAACTCAGGTTAACCTAAACTAAGAAACCGAGAAGGGAATATATGAGGAAAGAGTGAATATTTCTGACTCCAAATTATGGGTTGGCCATGATATCCAATCCAGAACATAGGTAAATTAGGTTCCTTAGCGTTACCTGATGAGTGGAGCATTCACTGAGCAAGCAGTCTACCTTTGTTAACAAGGAGATATTGAAAAGGATTTTGCAGATGCTGGCATGAAAAGGTCTCAAATGTAATTATGCTGCTCCTGTGAATTAACTCCTAAGGGTTATGCTTGTCTTCATTATCTGAAAAAGTATTCAATATTCTATGTGTCTTCCAGTCACTGTGTGACATTTATAGCTCTTTTCCATGACTTTTAACAGTGCCTGAAACAGTACGTGGAGCTTTTGATCAAGGAAGGCCTTGAAACAGCAATTAGCTGTCCTGATGCTGCTTGCCCAAAGCGAGGTCATTTACAAGAAAATGAAGTACGTTTCCTACACGTCTTTATCTTACATAACAGTCACACTCACTTCTAATTACAAATCATGATTTTCTATCATGTTCCTTTTTGTCTAATAACCTTTTGCTTATAGCTATATTCAATGTTGTTTTTCTCTCTCTCTCTCTCCTCAACAGATTGAGTGTATGGTTGCATCAGAAATCATGCAGAGATACAAAAAACTACAATTTGAAAGAGGTATTGTATATAGCTGCAATCTTTCTACTAGAATCCACAGTTGACCCCAAACTATGTGGAAATAATTTTGTTCCATTTTTTTTAAATATGTTTCTCTGATTCTGCTTTATTCAATATTCCCTAGATTATCTCTCTCCATTTATTGTTACATAGATAAGGGAGTGTGTTTTGAGGTAATCTCCTTTTCATTTTTATTTTATTTATTATTACATTTATATCCTGCCTTTATTTTGTACAACTCAAGGCAGGCGTCCATGATACTCCTGCTTCCAATTTTCCCCACAACAACCACCCTGTGAGGTGGATTGGGCTGAGAGAGAGTCACTGGCCCCAAGTCATCCAGGCAGTGTTCATGCCCAAGGGTACACTGCAATTCACAACCTCCTGATTTTTATTCCAACACCTTAACCACTATAACAAGCTCATCTATACTTCATGCCCATACAAAGTTTGGTTGGCTCTAATTGGGGGGGATAAAAAAAGTTAAAACAGGCACAGAGTCACCCCACAGTCATGGCAAAGAAGACCTCCAAGGTCCTTTGGCATTGTATTATAAATCTGCAGAAGCTGAGATTTTAGACCAGGTTCAAGCCATATTTTCGTGGTTTTGAGGGGAGAGGTGTTGCACAGGATTTTTCACTTATCGTTTTTCTCACCAAGGGCTGCTGGGGATAAGGTGACTAAGCAGTTTGTTTTTCCTTTGTGGGGGTGGTTTGGAAAGGGCTTTTACTACATGTAACATTTACTTCATTGACGGGAAACCATGCTGCTACTGTTTAGTGGATTGCCACCAAATTTCAGTGGCATAATCTTAGTGGAAATCTTTGGGGATTGTAAAAAAAAGTGGGGAGAGGAGTCTGGAGAGCTGCATACGATGGAAATCCATGACAAGTTTGCCAAGCAGATGATGATGATGATAATAACTTATATGCCACTTGACTCCTAGCGACTCTGGGTGGTTCTGTATAACTTCCCTTAAAAATAAGGAAAGTATTTTGTGCTTGGCTGAATTTACTCCCAGATAAGGATGCTAGGCCCTGGTGTTACTTGTAGAAATAGCCAGAGACAACCCAGACTAAATCTGTTGAGTTTGGATTCATCTCCCAAGAAACTACTGTACATGAGATGTTGCAGAACATTGTGGGGAGGGAGTGGGAGGCCGAAATGGCTCATGTTTTCTTTGCTTTCCCATCTTATTGAAAACAGAATGTGTGCATTGTTCCTGCATATTCTGTGAGAGATGCTTACAGATCATTTGGCATTCCTTACTGTGTTCCACAACTCAAGATCCTGAATCTTCACCTTTGTCTTTGGAATAGAAGCAACTGCCTTATACCAAACAGATTATGGATACTTAACCTATTATACCAGACCTCCATAGGGATTAAATTTATTGGTTCTGCCATCAAACTACAGTTTTTCCCAACTGTGTCTTATTTCCCCCAACAGAAGTGCTTTTGGATCCTTGTCGGACTTGGTGCCCATCTTCTTCCTGCCAAGCAGTTTGCCAACTTCAAGAATCAGGACCTCAGAGCCCCCAGTTGGTGCAATGCAAAGTCTGTGACATAGAGTTTTGCTCATCATGCAAATCTAACTGGCACCCCGGACAAGGTTGTCAAGAGAATATGCCAGTCAGCTTCCTTCCAGGGGAAACAAGGTACGGGGCTATTGAGTGAAGTGGATATGTTCCTAATATATTATTATCAGCTCTTTCACTCAGCTTTCAGAAGGGTGGTCTGTATTGCTATTGTCTCAGGTGGCCTACTAGGCAGGCTTATTGTTAGTTGCCTGGACTTTTGTTTTTAACCTTAGTACCAGTAGTGACCACAGCAGAGGACAAGGGGCTCAGAGTGATACAAACAATATCGTGCGGTTACAATGCAATCCCTGCCCCTTTTCTACATGCAATGTGACATTACAAGCATGCCCCCAAAGTGAAAAACTTGCACTGTGATACTGCTTTTTTCATGCTGACAAAAACAGTGAATGCCTGTGCATGCTGCTTTTTAGCATTATCCAGTTAGACTGAATAACACAATCAAAGGCTACATAGTCTTGGAATCTATTTTTGAATATGGTTGCATCGCATATAAACATAGAGACTGAAATAATTTCAATTTGAAAGTGACACATACTGAACGAGTATTTCTCCCATAATATTGTCAACCTGTTTCTTCCAGCTCTGTTTATAAAATGGAAGAAGATGATGCTCCAATCAAACGTTGTCCAAAATGCAAAGTTTATATTGAAAGAGATGAAGGCTGTGCCCAAATGATGTGTAAAAACTGTAAACATGCCTTCTGCTGGTATTGTTTGGAATCACTTGATGTAAGTTTTCTTTTTAAGATGAGAATAATACTGTTCATTAAAGTTACTACTGTCATCGGTCCTAAATGCCTTTAAAAGAGACCTTCTAAATGCCACCTTACGGAATATTCCAAAATTATAAAAATTTTGGAATATTTATGGTTAACTTCTAAATTTCTGAATATGCCAGAATTTAGAAGTTAACCATTTAAAGCTTAGATTCCTTTGTAGATGTAACCATTTTTGCACACATATTCACTGGTATGCAGTATGGGACACCATCTCAGGAAGGCAGCATTAGTTGAAAAGCTCACATTTGGGATTTGTACATATATGTGTATATGTGACATTTTTGTCATTAAAGAATCACCATTTTGGAAAGTAAATAGGTGAAATATGCAGTAGGTCCAGAATCCAAGACCATGTCACAGAACCTAATGTTATATGCTAGCTGTACTGATGTTCCACCCAGATTGGCAAAAGACATTCTGTCAATGATAATAAGAGCAGTGATGTTAGATGAGGATTGCTATGCCAGCATGGGCACCGGCATAGGCAACACTGGGTGACTTTTCCACTTCACTTTACCTATTATAGATATAGGTAGGTAGATATACCTACCTATATCTACCAAAGAGGGCAGAAGTTAACATTGCCATCCTCACTAAGGAGAGGTATTTTGATGATTTGGCAAGATTCAACACCCAGAGTGTCTCAAAGCTCTTTTTTCTCTCTCTTCTAGGATGACTTTCTCCTTATACATTATGACAAAGGACCTTGCCGAAACAAGTTAGGTCACTCTAGGGCATCAGTTATTTGGCACAGAACACAGGTAGGTGCTTCACTATCTTTTCTTTTTACTATGCAGAGTGTAAGTGAATGCAGAGTTTAAGTGAATCGAAAGAATTATGGCTCAGAAAATAAATGATGGCTCACAAAAGAAATGAGTCAAAGAAAATAAAAAAAAATTAAAAAGAAATGATGTCAGCTATTTGACATCATTTCTTTTTAAATCACATGTATTTCTGATAAACTTTGATGTACGGTACAAAGAATCAAAAGAGCCAGTTTGGTGTAGTGGTTAAGGCACCAAGCTAGGAACTGGGAGATCGTGAGTTCTAGTCTCGCCTTAGGCATCAAGCCAGGTGGGTGACCTTGGGTCAGTCCCTCTCTCTCAGCCTTTTTCTTACTGGGAAAAAAATCCACTGGGAAAGGAAAGAGAGAATACCTGCCGTGATGCTTTTGGACCAATAGTGCTTACTAGTGCTACTGGGTCTAAGACCGCAGTTCAGTAACATTGTTGTAGTAGATTTGTAAATGTTGATTTACATTGATAAAATATAGCTTCAACTTGTAAATTTTAAAAGCGGATTTACAATACTAGGATTTATTTTGCCTGGTAAGAATTTATACTGGACAGCCAGTTTGGTGCAGTGGTGAAGGCACTGGGCTAGAAACCAGGAGACCGGGAGTTCTAGTCCTGCTTTAGGCACAAAGCCAACAGGGTGACCTTGGGCCGGTCCCTCTCTCTCAGCCCTGGGAAGCAGGCAAGGGCAAACCAGAGGCACTTCCGAAGGGCGCTTTGGAAACCTTGCCAAGAAAACTGCAGGGACTTGTCCAGGCAGTTGCCAGGAGTCAACACTGATTCAAAGGCACAAAGAATTACACAAGGCAATCCTAATGGAATCAGAGAGGATGGGAAGAGAAGATCTCCTCCCAACCCTCTCTGCTAAAGTTACCCAGGAGAGAGAGTTGAGGAATATTTTTCCCAGGCTTCTCCTCCTGTAAGATCGTTGTACTTTCACCTGAATTAGGACTTTCTAGAGGAATGGAACATTTCTGACTCCATGGGATTCCAAGCTGGCTTCTTCCCAGCATAATCCATTTTGGAGCTTTCTAAGAGTTGGCAGTGACGGTTCCTTTCCAGCTACCTGAATGTTGTGAGAGCTTTCTACTGCTCCTCTGCCAAAGAGGGTTAGCTGGATGCTACCAAGGGATATTTCAACATTTCCTAACATTTTCCATCACCCTTAGGAAGGGAGGGCAAGCGGTTAGGATTGTGGTCTGGTTCTTGTTGGAAAGAAATTAAAATATTCCTGGAAGCATTTCAGGAATACTTGCAACAATCTAATGGAGAGGGAAGGGTATTAGGATTAGTATGGATAATATAGCATGGCAAGCTATGAAGGGGGAAGCCATATTTTTCATGAAGTGAAACACAGCCATAAATTCACCACTCTGCAAATTGGATTTTAAAAAAATTAAAATAGTATGGAGTTTTGCAACCACATACAGGGACTTCCAAGTATGCAGTTACATAACACACATGCGAAACCTCCCAAAGTGAATGTTGTTCAACGCCGCCACCTGGTGGCAAAGAAGAGTTTTCACTCCCTGATGAAAAATAATGAAATCCAATATTATAAAGTAGTTAACGTCGACTCAATTTTTCCTTAAGGGAGGGGGAAAAAAATCTGAAAATAGACCTTAACAGAAATAATATGAATATATTACCCCAACAGCTATGGAGAGCCTGTTGGGAAACTCTCTCTATCTGCTGTGCTAACCTTTAGGCTGACTATTGTTAAATCAGGAGAATTCTACTTTTCCATTCTTCTGCTCAAGTAGCTCCTGGTGACCTCAGCAGAAGATTCTAATCCTGTATGAAGTATGAGATGCATACCTAACAATACCTTGCCAAATCCAAACTCTCCTGTGATGGCTTTGGCTCAACCTCACAGGATCAGCATAAGCTACAGTATAATGCTCCAGAACTGAGGGATGAGCTTCACACAGATCCCTGCCACCCCTTTCCACTTCTACTGCCTTTACTCTGCCTAATGGCAATTCTGCCCTGCAATGCTTTAGTTTTTAGCCACAGACTGCAAGTTTCTATTGTTACCCACATTTTTTATTTGTCTAGGTTTCTCAATAAAGAGTCAAGGTAGAGTACTAAAGACAATTTTCTGCAACATGCTGCTCCGCAGATACACTGGACTACAACTCCCAGATTTCTCAGCTAGCATGGCCAATGGACCTTCTAAACTAGGAATTTGGGGATTGTAGTTCAACCAATCTGGGGACCAACACAAACTGGGCAAGGCTGGGTTCAGTGGTGGATTGGGGAGATCCAGCTTTAAGGCCCTACTTAGTCACAGAGTTAGCTCCCAGAACAGCCATTCTCAGAGCAAAATGAAGGATCATCCCAGCTATGCAGCTTTGAGTTACTAAAAGAAAGGTAGGATATTCATGTTAAAAAAAACAGGGTAAAGCATGTGCATTATATTTGCAAGGGATCCTCTTCCTCTAGCCCGAGTAAGAGAAATGTTTTTATGTGTTGATTTTAGTTGGAGCTATTACATCTGTTTCACATTACAATCAAGGCCAAGTAATACTTAAAACGTTTTCAGTATATTGAAAGATGAGCCAGGTGGGATAACTGGGCAACATTTTAACACTAACCTCCTGATTCTGTGAGGTGCAACATCACTTAGTTCCAAACAGCCTTCCATTCTCTACCCCTTCCGGGACATGAGCCCTTACACTTTGTGGCTTGTTAGATCAGATGGTGTCTCACTCCTGAGACTTGAGGAACCCAACCCATCCCTAGCCTTAGTCCTGGAGTTCCTGCAGCCTTCTCCTTCAGCAGAAGGAGTATTTATTGGTTCCAGGATTGTAAGAGCTGTTTGATGCAGTCTGCATCTCATCAATGCAAATTGATGCCAATTAAGGGTCATCTGGAACAGCAGAGCTCTCCAAAGCTGTTAGGAGTAAAGGGCCAGTTGGATTGTCGGTCTGGGCTCACAAATGCTTTTTCCTTCTCCCACAAGAGCTCTAGGAATTTGGGGAAGCCTTGGAAAAATGCATGACTAGTAGAAATCTCTTGTTTGAAAAGGGAAATAAGGAGAGGGAAGGGGAGAGAGTCAGCAGGTAAACTACTTCAATGTTTTTCTTGGGTAAAGGAATCTCAAAACAGTTACTGTTGTTCCCTCTTGCACTTGCTGTTCTATTGAGCCTGTGTCTGGATCGCTGAAAGAGTTGTTCCCCCCGACCAAAGCACCCTTCCCTGTGTATGGTTGCGTCTTCCTCCATACCTCCTCCTTCAGTGACGGAGGTAGCAATGAGAGCAGTTTCCAGTTTGGAAACCAGACTTTCCAGTTAGCGCTTATTCTCATGCCTCTCTGTGGTCCTTAAAACAGAACATGAAAACACTCTGGGCCCAACAGTTTAGGGCTCTATCAGTTCTCATCCAGTTAAGCAGAATGGGAGAACATCTTTTTCCTATTATTTTGTGTGTTTCTTTTCTCTTTTCCTACTGCAGGTCGTGGGGATTTTTGCAGGATTTGGCTTGCTATTATTAGTGGCATCTCCCTTTCTTCTACTCGCTACTCCATTTGTCCTCTGCTGCAAATGCAAGTGTAGTAAAGGAGACGATGACCCTCTGCCTACTTAGAGAGAATGAAGAAGGGACCTACTCATCATCGCTGTCCATTTCCTACCCCCCTTTTTTGCACTTAATCTTGTTAGAATCTTGCCTTATTCCGCTTTGAGTGAGAAGTGAGGCGCCGTGATTCCAGGAACTACTGGTGCCAGAGTTCCCTATCCACCAGTCGGATTATGAGGAACAATTTAAGGGCTGGCAGCAAACAGGTTGAACATCAGAATTGTGTGCATCAATGATATGAGTCATTCCTTATTCTCTGGGAGACAACATTAGCAGACCTGGAACTGAGTTACGCTACCCAGATGAAAATCTTCATCTAACTATTCACATTAAACTGAGAGAGGTTCTTTCCTTTAAGTATAGGTGGTTTTTACAAATCCGTTACCAATTTAAATATGTTCGTTTTAGATGTGACTTCCAGTATCTGTTTATTAAAATCAATTTCTTAATATCTGCAATTGGAAAATGTCTAAGCATTCTTGTCTCATCTCCCCTGTCCATCTTTCTCACACACACACAAAGTCATGGCATCCAGACAGATGCCCTAGGCCTTTGACTCTGAAAGCTAAGAGGTGCCATTTCTGCCTACTAATATTTGAAAATCTGTGTGAGCTAAATATGTGGATATGTCTGTATTTTTTTTTTAATTTGAGGATTGGGAGGGAGGGTTGCAAAGTTTTATGGCTGAGACATATGGCCCAGAACTGTTATATAACCAAGAGTCTTTTAAAAATTGAGATTACACTAAACCCTTGATTTAACAGATCTCAGTTTGGTGGACTTCAAATTTAACAGACAAAATCTGTTAGAACAGGAATATGTCATGCTGGAACTCCTGTGGCAGTTGAGGAACAGCAGGGGAGAGGAGGAAGGGAAGGTGCTGGGAAGATTGGGGGCAGGCTGGCCAACAGGATATGCCATTGGGAGGCACCATGCACCATGCCCTGCTTGCCAGCTTCGTCCAACTGTGCCTTTTGTTTCCTATCTAGATTTGTTTCTACCTGTTGTTTATTACTTATTTGCTACATGTAAATAGAGCTGCCTCTAATCTGGTATCCTTTTGTGTACCTAGAAAAATAATTTTGTAGAAGCCAAGCATGTTCTAAATTTTGGGAAAGTCTGAGGCTCATGATTTCTCTTAGTGGTAGGCGCTAATCTGGAAACATAACAATCATCGTCATTTCCCATGTGGACAGTACTCTGGGAACCAGGAAAGAATAAACATAGTTCTCAGCAGAACTGGTTTTCCTCTACTACTGTATAATCTGTCCCTGGCAGAGACTGGCCATCCCATGGAAGGAGATATTGCTTGTATATTTACCTACTTTGTTGGTTCATCCCAGGTGGCTCTTCTTCCTTAGATCCTAAGGGTTCAAGGCATGGATTGGAGGGGTATATGGAAAGCGTAGATGTTCTCCCATCTTCCTAATGTCCAGTGGGCACTGAAGATCAGCCAGAGAGAGGGGCGCCTTATGTCGGTTCATCTCAATTCACTAAGCTGTACCTGGATGTAGATGGATAACATCAGTGTTACAGTCCCAGAATCCCATCTAAATTCAAGAAGGTTCTGTTTTCTCCCTCCCATTATGCTTCAATTATTAAAAATGCCTGCAATGATCATGCATACTCTAAAAGCTGTTCAAAATGTATAAATATTTAATTCATTTTAAAAATCACTTCTATTTTATGGTGTACAGTATTGTGACAGCAAACAATGTTTGTTTTTAAATATCACCTTTTCCATCTTATATTTTCACTATTATTGTCTTCTGTATATTCCGAAGTACCATAAAATGGACATCCAGCTACAATTGATAACATTGTTTTGAGTGAAAATTGTAAATGTAGATTTTAAACTAAGGGGAAGTATTAGCTCAAAATATTCTATAACCAAATGAAACCTGGAAATGGGAAAATCTTTCATGCATATATAAGCCAAATGAAACAGAAAATCATTCTTGGCATAATAAGGGCATAACCGTTTGGACTCAGCGTTTGTACATGTATCTAATGCAAATCTGATCCCAGCTGTCCTCCCATATCAGAAAATTAATGGTTGAATTGTGGGAAGAATGTGCTTTGTTCCGGCTTTAATCTTCTCCTTCTTCTCCTTCTCCTTCTCCTTCTCCTTCTCCTTCTCCTTCTCCTTCTCCTTCTCCTTCTTCTCCTTCTCCTCTAGTAACAAAAAATAAAATCACTTCTCCTAGTTGTCCCATTTATCAATCTTTAGATGATTAGCAGAGCAAGAATGAGTGATACTTGTTTCTGGTGCCAGTGGAAATTTTTTTTTTCAATCTAGCCATAATTGGCATGCAAGGTACAGCATTCCTTGTCAAAATAGTAGTGGGAATTGGAGATATAAAATATTCTTACTGTGCTCCTAACTGGAATCTTTGCCCCTCACCCACGTTCTTAACATCTAGCATAGATAAAAAAACTCTGGGCAACCTGAGCAAACCAAGGAGTCATAAGCGTCCATCCCTAACTGCAGTGATGCCAACTGGATAGAATGTGTGTCATGATATCATAATTCAAGCACATAAAGGGCAGAGTTTGTATTGCAACGTTGCAACTAACTTTTCACCCTTTGTCCCCACTGCCCCTGATGCCTATGCAAAGAGACAAAAGGCATTAGCAGTAGCTTCTTTTTGAATCATTTTGCAATAATCCCAGTGTCCTCCAAAGATGAATCATGAGCAAATTTGAAAGCTGTTCTACATTTGTGCTGCAAAGCAGGATCACTCTCAGAACTTGCTCCCACCTTGCTTGCCTAAGTCAGTTGTCAGCTGGCTCAAGTAAAAGAAAGAGGGAAGCCCACAGTGCAGTTTGACACGGTTCAGGCCTTGTTTAGAGTAGCATGATGGCTTGTTTACCCAAAGCTGGATCTTGCTATGCCTGGTCAAGCTTGCTGTCAGGTTGTCCAAGCAAAGCCATGAGCAAAGCCTGCTGCACACTTATTGTCTTACGCTCGCGCTGCTAAATCGCTGGCGGTCCTCCCTCCCACTTTGCTTAGACAAGGCAGGATCTGGCTTGTCTAAGCAAAACCTAGAGTTAGTTATTTTGGGCTCCGAGTTGAGTTGCATAAGCCTTCTGTCATACACACCCGAACCTGGATCTCTGTCAGAATCCACTCCTGGTCCACATGGACCAACCAGGAGCAAAGTCAGGATGTTCTACACATACTGCTATAAAAAGCCAACGTCGATACCCAAGAAAAGTCAGATGAAAAATGAAAGTGGCCTACTCAAAAATAAAACCCATATTTCAGAAATTACACAAAACTAAGCAACCTCATTGTTCACATTAAAAATACATTTTTAAACTGTATTGTTCTGTTTATTTCTAATGAAAAAGGTTTTAATTTAGAAAGTTGCAAGGTTGTATCATTGTCTTACCTGATATATGGATTAAAATTTAGTTATGTTTATGTCTTGCCCAACCTCAACAAAATCATTATTTTTGTTCAGGGGCAGTGGCTAACACACATTCATTTATCATTTTAGGGAGTTGTGATAGTGCCACATTGAGGACCCCCGTGGAATTGGTTTTGACTTTAGAAACAGTATTATTCCAAGCATATCATAGTGGACATTTTCAACACTACTTTAGTGAATAAAAGGTGGTTGACATTGTACTGTAATTTCAAACCAGTTTTCCATCATTTATACCAGGGTTATTCTATGGTGTCTAAACTTGAATCAGATAATTGCCATTACAAATTTCAGTTATATTGTCTTAGAAGGTAATATAGCTTGAATTTCTCTAAATGTTACTTTTGAAGTCTTTGGGAACTCCCAAAATCCACATTTTGTAATTTTGTTTTCCAATGAAAGGTAAATTTTACCTGATATGGCTTTTATTTTTATGCTGTTTCTTGCTTTCAGTACAATGCCTTAACGCTCCTTTTAGTGAACGGTTACTTGTTACAGTAGATGTCCTCTTGGACAAAGTTCCAACAAATAATTTTTGTCACTATCCAGCTCAAAGACATCGTTCTGTTCTCATTCAAATGGGAACAGGACCTAGCAAAATGACTGATTGTCTTTATCCCAAATTGTGCTACACCCAGTTGTGGTTGGACAAGTTATCATACTAAGAGATAATATGTAGGATACTTTTGATTTGGGTTTTCAGTTTTTGCATACTGTACTGTGTAATGTCATCCATGACTTAGCTTTTGTTGAGAACCCAGCCTTGTATATTATTCCATGGTCAGCAAAGCATGGCTTAATGTGACGTGTGAGCCCAAATGCTATCTTAGTTATACCACCTGTTAAAATTAATCAACAGTTTGCAATATCTTTTGGAGAGATAATTTCAAGGTTCTTCAGAAAACACTTAGGATATCATTTCAATTATTTTCAGCTTTAACTCTTATACCATAGAAAGCCACAATTTGTCCAGTGTTAGGGATCAGAAATGACAGGTTATTCATTCCAGGATCTGCTTGGACCACTTGCTTCAGACACTGACACATCTAACAGCACAATTATCTTTCTGTCAGGAAATAGAGCAACAGGAATGTGTAATGGACCTAAACAGCATACATATAATTTATTGAGACTTGACAGATTTGGCAATTATTGTTAGAATTATTTGTACAATTCTTCATGGACTTGGATTTCTGAATTGCTTCATTTTTTTCCAGAATAGCATTGGGGCTTTAGCAAATTTTCAAATTCAATATCCCATTTATGTTCAGATTGCTGTACCTGGATATTTTGCTGCAGTTTTCAGTTTCATCTTTTTCCTTGCTAGTTTCTGATGAGCATGAGGAAGCATGCATGTTGATGTTTCATCACATTTCTTTGATAGCAGATTAGTTCCCACATATGTTTTAAAGATAGATAGAAAATGTGCATCAAAACTGCAGGATGCTAGGCATGCACCAGTTCCAAAATAAGGATAAAATGCTTTCCAACTTAAACAGAGGGGGAAAAATGAGAGTCCAGCCCAGCTGTGGAAGAAAACAGAAAAAATGCATCTCTGGGTATTGCTGGCTTGCCAACTGAGCCATTTCAATAGGAAGATATGCAGTATCAAGATAAACAAAACACCATATACATATAAAAAACACCATGCAAGCTAGTTTTACAAAGGGTTTTGTCCCAGGAAAAAACAGTATGGAAATAATTTTTAATGGATAATGGCATTAAAGGGTTTTCAGCAATCATGCTTGCTAATGCACTTCCACAAACAAAAAAACCCCCATCTTTTGTGTCTACACTCCCCTGCTGGTCCCTGCTTGGTTAGATACGTAATCCTCTCTTATTGGAATCCAAAAATATTAGGTCCAGGTACGTGTCATACAACTGAATCTTCCTTGCTCATTGAACCATGATTTTCTTTTTTAACTTTGTATAAAGAAGCATGGAAGAGTCCTGCGTATCTATAAATGATGTATTTGACTACAGTAAAATAAATACATTTTGTTTCTGTATTTGAAATGTAACTACATTTGTGCCACTAACACTGTGATGTATACAAGAGCTGTTGAATGCCTTTGAATGTTGTTTTGTACTTTGAAATCATATCCGACAGTTTTATTTGTAATTTCAATAGATATTTTAAATGAATCTCTCTTCTGTCTGTCTGGATTTTTCCCCTTGCCCTTGTCTTAGCCTACCTGGGGGCCGTTCCTACGTGCAACCAGAGGTATCCCTACTCTTCCTGCTCAAGTGGTGATGGCCAGGGACATCACTTTGTATTCTTGATGGATAGTGATGTCACTGACAATGGACACTGGTCCCTGTTTAATGCTACAGAAGCCCCAATAGCCGTACGGATTCTACTCTCGCTTTCTGCCACCTTCTCTGGCTCTTTAGGACCTTGCCTTGCCCAAAAGAATACAGTGCAACTGACATACGGCCATGGCATTTGGCTTTCTGAGATAGGGAGAAATAATCATTCCATGATCTGTCCCCTCCCTGGATTATGCAAAGTTTTTTTTTTCCAGGCCAGATTTCCATTCTGTTGTGAGAAAAAGCACACGAACAAGCCACAGAGCTATTAGTTTATTCCCATGATAGCTTGATCTTCTATCATAAGCAGCACTTTGTCTGCTTGCTTCCAGCAAAGTATCAAGAATTCCCCATACTTAGCAATAAAGGCTGGATTCAATGTCTGTAGTCCTTCCTGTTGCCTCTAATCTACCCAACTGTGATGGAATGGACTTATGAAGGCCAGGCTCAGGGAGATAAGCGTGTTCTTAGCCCCCAGCAGGAGCGTGGGAAGTTCAAGAAGAGGAGGCTGGCACCTCCCTAAGGAATTCACGGTGTTGTGGCTGGCTGGCTTGGGGACCTGGGTTCAGCCTGGGGAGGTTTTGTCCTGTTGGGGGAGCCAAAAAAACGCAACAGAACTGTATTTGCATTGTCTCTTGGAGTTCTTTGGGCTGAACCTGACACCAACCTCCCATAGGAAGCAGGAGTGAAGGTTCCCCTGGCCAGGCCAGCATACTGTTTCTCTGCAGTTGAAGTCCGCCTCTCTGCATAGCCCTCAGTCTCCTCTCTTCTAAGAGGATGAACTGTGTGACATCAGCTCACATGCACTGGAAGTCCATGTATGTGCTTGTTTGGATATGCAAGGAGGACAAGGGTTCACTCTTGATGGGAGATGAAATATCCTCTCGTTTCCTCCAATGATGCTCCAAGAGATATCCTAACAAATATGCACATTTCTGTAGTATTTCCTCTAACAATTCAGGGCAAAAATCAGGCTTAGCCGAGGACTCTTAGAAGACCTGCTTAATAGGCATTGAGCATATTTGGAGATCAGCAGCCATGGTATTTCTACTGTCAGTTGTAAAATTAGAACAGGTATTAAAAGGAGTGAAAGGGGATAATGAATTCGTTGGCCTGTACCACTCTCTAACAACTTACCCCAGAGGAAGGAATGGGTGGCCAGTATGATCTACAGTGTTTTGTTGCATGTTTCAGTTTCGAATGATAAACTCAGTAGAAGTGCACGGCTATAAGGAAGTCTTAATAGAAAGAGTGGGAGTAGTATGTTCTCTTACTTCGACAGATTAGTTTGCATGGCAATAAGTGAATACGTAAGAGAATTTGCTTCCCTAGCTCAACAGGGGGGATGCTTATAAATATCCCTTGGGGTTGGGACATTTTCTCTCTTATCCTACAACTGTGTTTTTTCACAGGACTATACCTGGTCACCAGGAGCTTCTCTGTCAAACTTGGATCTTCTGTTGTGGCTTCTTAGGTTAATCTTACAGGTCAGTCTAATCTTAATTCACCACAAGTTTGGACTGGGTGGCCTCGGGGGCCTTATGTTTTTATGACTTCATTACCTAGTCCTAGCATGTGACACTTGCAAGGGAAATTGCATCTTTGGAGGCTGACACACAAGACTGTTCACAGCAAGAAGGTAAATTAACATTCTCATTGTTGTCTGCTTCACAACACCCCAGGCAAGCATCCTGATCTTTCATAGGCCTCACTCAAGCTTTGAAAGCCGTGCTCCAGTTGGTGTAATTAAAACATTATATGGCTCACAGAATTTTAGAAGCAGAAGCGGTTATTTGGAGCATTGAATCCAATGTCCTGCTCAGGGCAGAACTCCAAGTTGAAGTACCCAGAGAGAAAGCTGCCTAGCCTCCACTTGAATGCATCCAAGCAAGGGGAGCCATTGTTCTTCTGGGTCACTGGTTCCATCATTGAACTGTTCTTGGTTTTCTCTAGCATTCCATTGGAATCTGCCTTCATGCAACTTAAACCCATTATTCTGAGTTCTGCAATCGAGCATGAGAGAGAGGAACTCTTGATCTGATACACTTTCAAATATTTGAATATGGCTATCATGCTCCTTCCCACTCCAGTTGTTTTTTCCTTAAGGCTCCTTCAACTTCTCTTAATTCCTAGTCCCCTGAACATCTCTGTTGCTGAATCTGTTTTCAACTTCTCTGAATTATTTCCAAAGTAGAAGGCTAGAACTGGACACAGTACTCAGGACAAGGTCTGACCAAAGCAGAAATGGAACTCACATTTCTGTTAATGCAGCCAAAAATTGCATTTGCCTGTTTTGCAGCTATTTCTGGCTCATGCATTGTCAGTTTGCAATCAACTATTATTCCAACCTTTTTTTTTTTTTTACAAGTATGGTTACCAAACTGGGTTTCTTCCCTCCAATGCCAGTGCAGATTATTTTTCTTTGTACTTTATTTATGAAATGTATAACTTGCATTACAGTATTGTTTATATAACTCTCAAGTAGAGTTTACAACCATTAATATTACCAAATTAGAAAATGTAAGCATAAAAGCAATGCAATTAAAATTAAGGCAACAATAAAATCAATAACATTAAAATCAAATCAGTTCTGCTAACAATTAAAAGCGTAGTGAAAAAGATACCAGGAGGGTAGGGGCCAAGTGTACTTCCTTTCCATAGCCTGGGAGCAATTTAGGAGAAGGCATACAAGTAGTCTTTGTTTAGCAACTGCCTTGTTTAGCAAATGTTCGCAGCTACGACGGTGATGAAAAAGTAACTTTACGACCAGCCCTCCCATTTACAACCTTTGCAGATCTGTAAAGCAAAGGAAAGCTGAAGTGAGATCATAAGCACAGTCGTAGTTTCACTTAGCAACCACTTACTTAATGACTGAGTTGCTGGTCCCGATTGTGGTCACTACATGAGGACTACCTATGTTAGATAGCTGAGATTTTGGCAGATCTTGGTAACTAGGCAGGTACATAGTAAGGGAGGCTTGGATAATCAGGAAAGACCCTATGTTGCTTAGGGGCTTGAGGTCAAAGCCAGATCCTTCCATTTCGCCAGGAGAGCAGTTCTCAGCCAGGGCAGATCTGTCCGTTTCAGCATCATATCCTTGTATTTTGGACTGGTCAACAGCTTGGCCATTGCAAAATTTCTGATCCTTTTTAAAAGCTGTCTGCACATACCATGTATTGCAGCAGTCAAGAGAGAATATAACCAAGGTGGGAATAAGCCTAGCAAAGTCCAACGAGATCAGGAAAGGTCACCGTTGGCTCAGCAAGCACAGCCTTCATCTGCAAATCCAGAGAATACTGGGGGTGAAGAAGCATTCCCAAACTGCAAACCTGCTCTTTCTGGGAGAGTGCAGGCTTCACCTTTTCCCCCAAGTCCAGCTGCTCTTCCAACATCATCTCCTTCTTCTCTGGATTTAATTTCAGTTTATTCTTCCTCATCCAGACCATTACTGAGTTAGAGGAAGCTGAAAAAAAAAATTTTTTTTTTTAATGTCTGCTGGGAAGATGTGGCCATGTATTGTATCAGTAATGGAGGAAGGCCAGGATTGGAAATATTTTGAAATTCTCAGTTGTTCTTTCAACATGATGGGAGGTGGGTCATATAAATGTTCTGAATGGGAATTGCTGTGCTAAAATTTCCAAGCAAAGGCCTTTATGTATATATCGAATGCCTCAATAAATGTTGGTTATTTAAAATTTATTTTGTAATCTGAATGGCTAGGATGCCAACTGACTGTTTCTTTAATTATACTATATTGCCTCTCTCTTTTACAAGCAACTTAAAAAAACAAAGCATCCCTCATATTTCCACTTATTTTATTAAAAACCAGCAGGGTGCAGCCTTTGCACACAAAATAAAAGGATATCAAATAGCTTTCCTACTGAAATATTTAACATCCAACATACAAATATGTGCATAGTACTGATACACAAAACATTGCATTTGTATGCAAGAGTGATCATTGATGGCAATTGGATACATTATGGATAAGTACATTCTTTACTAAATAATGGTATTTTAAATGCTAAATAATGGTATTTTAAAACTTTTTCCCAAGGGTATCCATGCCAATCTTTTAGATAAAGCAACAAAACACAAAAAAATAGCAAAATTTTGTAGCATATTAGTGTTTTCTGTTGTTGTTCTAGCTTAAGAAAACAAAACAAAACATAAATGAAAGGTTAAAAAAAACGATTGCCACCAAATATTGGGGGGGGGGGGGAAATGCCAGACCATTATCTCTTCCCTTCCCTTATGTGTTTTTTCAGACACAGATAGTACTTCAAAAAATCCAACCAGGCATTAAGTAATGTAATATAAACCTAAATAAAAAGTTATATATAAAATAAATATGAAGGAACGAATGATTTTTATTACTGCCTTTGGGGAGTCAAAATTAAAAAAACAAAAACACATATGCACATCCCAACCCAATTACCAGTCTCTTGACAGTGAACAATAAAAAATAAACAAGAAAACCAACATTAATCTCAATTAGATACCATACCATACCAGGCCATACCACGCCATACCATGCCAGAGAGCCAGTTTGGTCTAATGATGAAGGCATCAGGCTGGAAAGCAGGAGACGGTGAGTTCTAGTCCTGCCTTAGGCATGAAGCCGGCTGGGTGACTTTGGACCAGTTCCTCTCTCTCAGCCCAACCCACCTCACAGGGTTGTTGTTGTGGGGAAAATAGGAGAAGGAAGGCATATTAGGTATATTCGCTGCCTTGAGTTATATATAAAAAAGTTGGGATAAAAATATAGTAGTAATAAGGAATGTAATAGTAAT